TATATATATATATATATATAAAAAATGAAACATGTGCATAATTTAAAAGTCGATAATTTCCTAATAGTGATCAGTATTAGCTGAGGAGATTGTTCTCCATCTTTTCAGCCACTTAGAACATGCCCTTGGCCTTGGGTGACATCATTTACCATCCAGAGAGATCAACACACATTTGTCTGTTTGTGGGATCACAAGGACAACCTGGAGTTGGTGGCTTCAAGAAAATGGGTGGGGGCGAGACGAACCACACTCCAAAGTGGAGGATGAGAGTGGAACTCAAAAACTAAATTTTGCTTGTCGGCTTCAGGAACCACTACCATCCAATGAAACACGACCCCCCTTTAATTCTCTCCTTGTCTCCTCTTGCGCTGGTAAAAGACTATTATGGCCTGTACGCAAAAAGAGTTTGTGCAGTAAACATCTACAGACTGTCGCTTATATGTATCCTTAAATGGAAGTTACTACAGAGAGATTTTTACTCGTGTTAATGACTACCGTTCTTGTGTAGACTGTTCTTGAAAAGCATCATGATGTGCTCTTTGTCGCTCTGAAAGTAGAATCCAAGCAAGATGAACGCACATTGTGGGCTTTTGGATGCTGAGTTGGAAGCAGTTTTACTGTGAGAAACGGTCCAGGTCTGTTCATGATTTGTTTATTATAGGGACGAAAACGGGACAGATTTGTTGGATGGGCAAGCCAACAGTAGGTTCCGAGTGCTCCTGCAACTTGGTACGGGGCTAAGGTTGCTTTCTTGCTTCCAATCGTGTGACTGAAGAATATTTAGTGTATGGTTTTTTGTTGCATAGCGGTGGAATTTTGTCAGGGATGGTAAAAAAGTATGGTAGGAAAATATAACAAAGTTTTAGCAGAGAGTTTTTTTTTTTTTTTTGACCCCCTCTATTTACAAAATTTGAAGATTAAAACTGATAAAAGAAACCTTGGTTTATCCCAGGTTCATTATAAAACTCTCTTTCTAAATGAAGACCCCTTGAAGTTCCTCGTGGTTGCTTACTAGGAACAAGGAGAAAAAGGAATATGTGATAAGCTCGACCGGCATTGTTTCCCAGATAAGTTAGCTCTATGCGTAATCCTAGTTTTTCGTATCTTCATCATTTTCCTCTTTTGGCAAGCCATGATGTGTGGAGATCATCTACATCCAGAATTATAAAGATTCTCTATAGCTCAAGTGATATGCATTACTTAAAAGATGGCTGAGGAGTGAGGACGCATCTTTTTGAGTTCACATCCTATATATACTTGAAAAAAAAAAAGCAATATGTATTAGTCCGGTACTTGTCCTATTTTACATGAAGCAAAATCTTTCTTTCGCCGTAGGTGATGAATCAAAGAGATCTAATTTTGGAGTCTTAACAATGAGATCTCTTACAAAAACAAATGATGTGTGTACTGTATATTTCCATACTTGTCCTATTTAGCTTGAGCAATCTTTTGTCCTTGGTGATGAATCAGAGCAGAATCATACAGAAATTGTTTTCTCATTAACGGTTTACAATATGTTTTACAAGACGGGGAAATTTATACAGTGACTTTAGATGGCTGATCATCAACCATCTTGTGTGACTCAAGCAACATAAATGAACTAAAACTCGCCCAAAGAAGATATATGTACATATGCAAGCCTTACGAACAGAAGCTTCCCTTGTGGACATAAGTCTGAAGATGCACGCCAAATTCCTTTATATTCATAGGTGCTGGTAAATGGAGATCATATACTGCCCATCGTGTACTATTAGAGCTCGGCTGCAAAGCTGCACATTTTCTTTTTTTAGTTTCAAACCACTATAAATAGATCCTTACCTTAGGTATTATTTCATATGAAGTTCATGGTTTATGTTTTCTTATTTCAAATATAAACAGGAAATAAATACTTCTGCAAAAGGTGGGTGTAAAGACTTCCATGTCCATAACTAAAATATGCAAAAGCTTGGATTTTGCAGTATACATGTACTATTTTTCCTTTTGAGGGCAAAATTATAGAGGATGATTCGTAAGTTGTTTCTCACTAAATTCATTGACAACAAACAAAGAGAAGACGTTTGCACCTAGCCAACAGATCCTAATAACTAAAAGATTGTTAATTAAAAGTCCACAGATTTATGGCAACAACTGACAAGAGCTGAACGAGAAAAAGAATTCACATACTTGACCCAGACATTTAGGATAAATGTTTTCCCCCCTTCTTCTTTCTGTGTAGTTGCTCTACTAAGTACTAACTGATTCAACATTTGATGATTGCAATTTACAAAGGATTAGTAGTATTAAGGTGAGAAAGGCTCAAGAAGGAATATCATCTTATTAGTTCTCTAAAACATGGTTAAGTGAAAGGACTTTTGAACTAAACCTGTAGGTTAAAGGTTCCTTAGATAAAGGTCCTAAAGTGAGAGTTTAATATCGGTGTTATTTGATTAAATATTAAAAGTTGCAATCAAAATGTCTGGACGTGCTTTCTTGAGTCAAGGTTAACAGACGCTTACCTGGAGCCAATACAGCTAGGCCCTAGTGATCATGACTTAATGTAATTTCCAGTAGATCATTAAGTGCACGAGAAACAGTATGTGAAACAGAACTAGGTGACATGAATAAAACTTAAAACAGCAGGAAAATAAACAGAAAACAAGTCCTGAATTGTTGCTTGAAAAACTATGTTCATCGGTTCATAATCAATGTCTTATATGCCCAAAGTTCCTCTTCAGAAGTTTCTCCACCATTTAGATCTGAATTTTCTCATATATACTTCATGAAATATATAGAGATAAATCTTAATATGTAGAGATAAAAATCTTTCCGTCATAGCTCTATCTCTCAGTTATTCTATCTGAAGTTCGGAACCATAGCTTTTAAAAAAAAAACTAATATATGTACCTTAAACGTCGGTGTGTCTTGTTCTCATGTTTCACTTGGTTCCGGAAGGGTAATTAAGCGTGCTCCTGAGTCGTATAATAATTCAGTGCCACAACTGACAAACAGATAGTGAATGGTCAATGTTAGTCATGATCCAGGTTCTAGATAGCAATAATGGGGAATTGTAAGAATGAGGCAGATAAGGATCTTACTTTGAGCACTTCACAGAATTTCGATCACCTCCACTTGGTATTGATAGTATAGTCCCAAAGAAGGAGACATTTTCTGTGCCGCAGTTTGGGCAAGCACCCTAGGTGTTGAAAGCACTGTTAGGTTGCTCTTAAGAAACTATAGATATACAACCTTAACAACAATAAGATCGATACAGGTTTATACCTTTAAGATTAAGAAGTCTTTGATAATTACGTTAGTGAATGCTTGGGATAACCAAAATATGAGAGGTAAAGCAGCAAACCAAGTGAAGATGAAACTGAAAGGCTCTGGCAGCTGCATTATAATCACAAGATCACACATTAAGAACAGGACATTGCTAATCATGAAGTATCAATAAGAACAAGTTTTAAGTATCTGATGCTAGATATATGCCACATACTAAAAGCATAATTGTGACTGAAAGATGCATAAAGAACCTTACAGGATGCAATATGTAGCCATGCTGTATAAAATACATGAAAGCTATGTATAAAATCATGCTCAATGCAAGTTGATAAGAGGACTTGGGTGTTATGGGAGAGGTCACAGGATCAAGCATGAGGATGCAAATAGGAGAAATTTCCTCCCAAAATTGGGGAGGAAGATTTGTCCTCCTTCATCAAGTATTTAAGTTAGCAAAGCATACAACAAGTGCAATGTGCTAAGTGTAAGTCAGGATGTCAATGAGTAAGTTAATGGATGTTCTTTATAAGTTAGCAAAGTAGAACATAGAACTCAAAGACTGGATAAAAAAGCGAGAGAAATAAGATTGAATCCACTGTTGAAGTCAGTATGATCTAATGCGATGGTTGCAGAACCAGTCATTACAGCAGAGTAGCCAAACACATCTCCCATGCTTTCATATCTGAATTTCATCTTTTTTTTTTTGGTCCTTTGTTAAAGCTGGGTAATCTTCTCCTTCAGTGAGCATGGAGTCATCCCTAGTGAGAAATTATAACCATAATATTTTTATTATTTGTTCTGCTCATGCAACACTGATCTTAATTAGTAATGGTCGAAGCAATAGAGATCCAAAGTGAGACAAGCATTACCAAATTAGTTTCCTCCAACTGTTGGTCTTTCGACTCTTTCGTAAAGAAGAAAGCATATTCTTTATCATACACTAAAACGACATAGTATAATGATACAACCTATTCCAAAGGTAGCACATTTGCACCTTAAGAGGCTAATAGATTAAAACCTTCTAGTAGACCATTTAATAATCTGATCCAATTACCCAATGCAAAATCCTGTTGGTTCTCTGAAGAGGTAAGCTAAACACGACCTATGTACCACAAAATAATTGCGAGCCTGGGTCAGCTCCATTTTTCAACCCAATAAATCAATGGCTGAGGTCAGCTCAAGCTTCATTGGTACATTTAAACAAAATTTAGTTCTGTGCACCAGGATTTGAACTTATTCTGTCATACTTCATGAGTGTGTTTCTAATCAGAGAGACTCTGTGATCCATAGAAGGCGAAATCAAACCAAGCTATTCCAGTCCTACAGAAATGCGTTAACGGGTCAGCTTTTGTAAGATCAAAACCTACTACAAAAACCTAAATGAACAAACTTCATATCAGGTTTATGTCAGATTCAAAAGTTCCCAGTCCCAGGAGTGGTTTAGCTAATAGGAAAATACATGGCTTAAACAAAAAAAAGTTAAGAATACATCATGGAAGACAGTAAATAAATAAATGCAATCCAGACAAACATATGGTGCAGTCGAAGTATAATAATAAATGAGTCAAACTATCAAACTCCTATACAATGAATGGTGCATCAGAACCATGAAGTTGGAGCGGGAATAAACTTCATGCCCACTCTAGGGAACAGAAGCTACTCAAAGACACAAGTAGTAGTGATGAGGTATATGGACGTGTGATATAACATGTCTGTATATGTGTATTTTATGTATCTATATCTGTGAATTCCGTGCATATGCATGTGCACAAAATACAATGTAAAAAAATGAAAGCAGCAATAGCTGAAATAGGATCTACCCGACTTTATAAGTTACAGAAATGGGTTGAGACTAGAAAACATGGATCGAATCAAAGTTTTTGAAGAAAAAAATGCACAGCAGTAATATTCAAAGCTAAACAAACATGACAATGGTGAACTCCACCCTAATCATTCAAGTTAGTGCATGGATGAATATTTGTAATGAAACTCGTGTACTTTTGGAATTTTTAACGTTCAGAATCATACAGCATGAGCATATAAATTCATATTGCTGAACACTTGTACGTTGCAAAACTTGATTCATCAATTTCTTTGTTTGCGTTTGGTTATGCATTTGGAACCTTAACTCTTGCTATGCAAGTCATGTACCCCCTTTCTGAGAAATCATGGGATCAGAATACAACGCACTGTTAGGGATGGACGAGTAAGAAGGTTGACAGGAAACTAATGAAATCACTAAAACTACTTCAAAGAGGTACATACTAACGGGACCATTGAATCACTTAAATGGGGAACTGGTCCCAAAAATAAAAAGAACTCCTAAACAGAACCTGTTGTGAAATTTGACAACTGTATGGGTTACAAATTGAACCCCATAAGAATGTATAAAATAGTTGGATAAAAATGTCTCATTCAAGATAACAATGGAGCTCATAATAACTCAGCAAACCCACATAAGTTGTGGGTGTAAATTATCATTCTATGGATGGAATCAATTCACATATCCGTTCACTAGTGATGTCTCCAGCATCAAACTAACATCAGAAAACCAACAGATAAAAGAAAAGTTGGAGGGTTTCTTTTCATTGGATATAATAAGCTGAACGTTTTCTGACATTCAATGTAAGAAAACTATAGCAGTTAAAAAGTATCTGCATATAATTGAGTATTCTTAAGTATTCTCCACGATGCATCTAAAGGAAAGGATAAGTACTCACCTCCAGAAGATATGTGATCTCGAAACCAGTAATATCATCTAGGAAGAAAAATCTGTCAGAATAAAACATGAAAATGAGAATAATGAAATATTTTTGATGATAGGAAATGACTAAAAGTCAATCCGAAAATTAGTAAAGATAATAATGGAGGTCATAATAGATCTGGACAATTTAATAATATTAACTCGTGTCGGGTAAGTTAATTTTTACATGGCTTTTTTCCTTATTAAGCTTTCCTCTAGCTCAGCTATGTCCATCACATTATTCTGATGATCTCAGAAAAAGTACAGAGTCCTGCACACACATCCCTGATGTTGCATCTATAAGAAAACTTAGTAAAATATGAGACCATTGACAGTTTCTCTCCAATGATTGCAAACTTAATTATGTCAATAATAGAGGTGATGTGGAAAATATCGTTAGAATTTTGGACTTGATTATCATACACAAGTTTTACAAATAACAAAATATAATTTTCCCCATCTTGATTAGGTTAAATCTGATATTAAAACAGCCACCTTCTGTGGCAAACATAGCTCATTCACCTTCTGTGGCAGATATAGCCCCTGCCCTTCAGCCCACCCACGCATTTGCACGTGCACATACAAACTTCAATATACTAGCTTCCAGCTCCTATATTTTAAACATCAGCTTGAATTTTTGCAGCTGCTGCTTAAATTAGAGGACTGTAATGCTTGAGAGTATCATTATGAACTATAGTCACGATGTGACTAAAATATGACACCAAAAATATACTTCCATATCCATTAACAGCCAGTACAAATAAAAATGGGAAAACTGTTGACTGTAGACCAATCTTCACAAAGAAAATGTGTGCTGAATGGGGATCTTTGGGGTTGGGATTTGGTGCAAAAGAGGGGGTTGGGTTTTTGAGGAGTGGACAAAGAGAATAACTATATCCATCATTTGATGACTAAATGATAAGATGGGTAAGATGTGTAATAATTTGTTATATGATCTCAAATACCAAGACTAATTCCTATTTGAATTAGAATCCTTTCAGATTCTACATGTGATTTGGTTGCCTGTTGGAAGTTAGTTTTAGATTCTAATTCAGATAGAAAGAGAAAAAAAAAAGTAAGAAAAATGAAAAGGACAATGAATTCTAAGCCTTTTATTTTTAGGGGTTTTTTGTATCTAATGGTTCTCTTCCTTAATGATATTCTCTTTCGTCTTGGTAAGAATTGTAGAGTTTTACTGAAAAAGATTATAAATAATTGTATTAAGGTTGCATTCAACAAGGTTGTGGAAATCAGAAAGCAGAGTGAAGTAGCAAGATGTCAATTAGGCTTTTCGGGGCTTAAGCAGCAAAAAGCACTAAGTCAGTTTTTTATATGTTTTTTTTAATTTTAAATAAAGACAAAAGTTCCAAAAATAAATAAGAAAAAGCGGGGGAAATCTGAATATTATAAAACAAGAAAACAGACAGAGGGAAAAAATTATACCGTGACTGTTTAGAGAGATCTTAAGCATGAAGTAGATGTGTAACAATACTTACTTAGATTAATCGTGCAATATTGTTAAATAATATAGACATTGAATGTGATACAATACCATGTAGTTTGATATGCACATCAAATAGTAAACAAGTTAATGAATTAATGTAAATTATCAAAGGCAAAAAGGGGAAAGGGAAAAACATGTAAACATGGGGAAATAAATGACGAAAAGTGGTCCAACTGCTTAACACTAGCGCTTGGGTCACTTTTTACAGTTTTGCACCATTTTTGCGCTGCTCAGGACTACTTTTAGGCTGCTTTCATCTTGAAAAGCGTTTTCAGACAAGCCTTTCTGAGACAAAAGCAGCCCAACTGCTTAATAGGCCTGCTTTTGACCTTGGCGGAGTGGTGAGGTACCGCTTTCGCTTTTTGATCGCTTTTTCCTGCTTTTTACAACACTGTTGTTCAGATATTAGGATTTTAGAACATTTCCAACATTGTACTCTTCACAATATTTTTAGTAAATTTATGCACAACTGTCATGGAGTATATAGGCTAAAGGCCAAACCATATTATATTAATGTGCCTCTTCTTTCTCTCCTCAGTATATTTTGAGCTTGTGCTTAATCGTTTGTAAGTTCTTGGGATTTGCCACAAAATATAACTTTCTGTGAAAACTCAAACGAACATGTCCCTTTTACCTTATGGCCAGGCTGACCTGAACTTAATTGCTTTAAAATTTTATCCTTAGAAGAAAAAATAACTGCTTGGGCTTTATTATATGAAGTCCTCACGTGAATAAAGATGATCCGCAGAAGTAAACTACATCTATATTACTCACAAGGTCAAAGCTATAACAGCTGCAGGGACATTCAATAGTAACATCTTGAAGTAGTCCACAGTTAAGTCACTGTACACCTGCAAGACAGAATAGAGCATGTGATAACAGTTCAGGACTTCAACTTCATTAACTACTTTATTGTCTAGTGGATCTGACTAAGCTAATAAGTTAGTAGTTTCTTCAATTAAATCAGATAGTAAATGTGAAATATGCTTCTATTTTGACTTTTCGGACCGGTAAGTTTGGAAAAAATTTAGACATATATACACCTAACTTGTATCTGAAGTGCGCATTGAAAACATATTGGTAAGCACATCATTTTTGCTGAATAAAAAGAATCAGTTGAGGATATCATAAAAGCATTAGGCACAACTGATCTCTATGAAGAGTTACATAATCAATTCCATGTGTAGACTGCAGAGTAAATATCTGAGGCCCATGCACGGTGAAGAGGGAGAGTACATCAAGAATAACTACAGAACAACATGCAGATTTCATAGAGAAAGATCAGAATCTATATATTTGCAATATGCAACATGCCTGTTCATTACTGAAAAAAGTAAGAATTGATATAACCTTGGCATGGTTGAGCATGACATATAGCACATGTGAAGCAAAATGGTTCTTTGATGTGAACTATAAGCATGGCTGCACATCAAGAGTGGCACAAATCATTCACAAGAGGAAAGAACCTATCCACAGTTGCTATTTGTGATTTTTGCATATTCATTTTTCTCAAGTTTAATGCAGCAGATTGGTACTAACTAAAATATAGAGTGTGCTGAGGAAACAACATAATTAGCAATTTATTATTTTTCTATTAGAAAGGTTATCTTTGTTTCGGTTGTCTGTGAAGCAGAGATGTTTCTCACACAAGTTTTGTTTCTAACAAACAATCAAAGAATATTACGAGGAAATCATCCGACAAAAATTTTCCGAAACAAGTTCAATAAAAAATCTATACCAGACAATGAACACACGAAGTAAACAGAGAAATGAACCTTTTTGAAGAAATTCAACACTAACCTTTCTACTACGGAGACTGCAGCGTGGGCCTCCTTGCACAATGCTACTTCCTTCTTGCTACAACATTGAACACAAAAGTATTAACAAGCTAACATAAGAAGAAATCTACGGCAATAACCTTTTCCCTAGAAAGAAATCTGGTAGTCATTTATTTTTATTGAATAAGTTGGGAACTGAACCACATGCAGATTAATTCTTAATGTCCAAGGGCTCCAGCTTCAACAACCCTACCCAAAGAAGCTCTGCAGTAAGCTAGAGCAACAGTACTTGCTTTACCTAAACAATAAAAGTCATGCCTTAGGGGTGCAAAAAGATATCTGTGTCTGCGGATATATTTGTAATCATACCTGTTAGGATAAATATAAAATTACTAAATATCTATGTCCAATAGAATATGGTTACATATATGAATATACAGTAAAATATCTGGATTCATATTTGAAGTATCCAGATATATGTCGAATACACAATTGCAATTGTTTTGACCAGTAGATTAATGGATTTGAGATTAATTATGATGATCCAGATATCTATCTTTAACTTTTTCGATATGCGAAACATATTAATGACTCTCTTGTATCACATGACCTATATATTTTACAAATTTTAATTGTTTTCCTATTATGCATTTTGTTTTTGTATATATTTTCTCTTATTTTATTAATATCCGTATTCGATTTTGGCAAACATGGATATGAGTATTCCTTACCAAGACAGGTATGTATTTGTGTAGCCATATTCATTATCAGTAAGCAAATACGAATATGGTAAGAATCATATCTGATCTGTTTGCAACCAAAAAAAAAAAAGAGAGCAA